ACCAGGGACTTGACCCATTAGGATATGAAATTCAGTCATAACTCATCTACTCTGTATAATCTTACTAATTTCCATGGTAAATAGAGTTTTTTGTAAAATATACATATTTGTAATTACTGGGGCTTTTCTTTTGCATTATCATGGGGAGAAATGTTTTTAAAAAGTAGACATTTGAATTTTGTACTTTTCAGAATATTATGGTGACACTGAAATTTTAGTGTATTATATCAGTATTTCCCTGTGTTTATTAATAAAATTATGTAAAAATTAAAATCTTTTCTTACAAATTCCAGGATTGTTTCTGTTATATAATAAGTAATTAAAATTCCATTCCATTTTTTTCCTATGATCATCAGTACTCTGGTATCTTAAAATTATGAAGAGGATGGAAAGTAGATTTAAGCCAGGTATGTAATTTCTCATCATAAAATTTAGTATTTCTTTAAATAGTACAGCTAAGATGATGAACATAGGAAGAATGTTTTCTAAAATAATATTAAGCTATTGTTTTCTTTATTTTGAAGACATTTCCAGTTTATTAACTCTCAGCAAACCTGCCACTGAAATGACGCATGTACAGACTTGGTGTGGGACCCGGCACACAGTAAACTGAATAACTTGAGGAATGCAAAATGAGTAAAATCTAATTCAGCCTTTTAGGAGGGGAAATACGATCAATATACATTGTAAATGCCATTAGGAAATACAGCCAATCTGAGCAGGAAGAAACTATTTCCAGCTAAAAGGTCCCCGAGGAAGTAGCGTTTGGGCTGGGATTTGAGTAATGCACTCAATTTGCAAAAGCAAAGTTAAAGCACAAGAAGGGTGAGGCACTATAGAGTAGGAAAGCAGTATGAGCAAGACTGAGAAATAGTAGCACTGTATGTTATGAATCGGCAAATATGCCACATTGACTACAGTGTAGGATTTATAAATGGGAAGAAAGGGAGAGACAATGTGAGTCTAATAGGAAACATGGTCTAGGTTAATAACTACCCAAACTGGCTAATCATCTGAATCTCCTGAGGAATTGTTAAATATGTATTTATAGGTGCCAGCTCTAGAGATATTGGGCTCGGGAAGCCTGGAATGGGGTCATAGAATTTGTATTTTTTAAATGAAGCTATGGGTGATTTCTAAATAGCTAAGTTTGAGTCATTCTGGCTTACATCAGAAATGGGTGTTGGTACTCCTCCTGAACCTAAAGCAGATAGCAGTGTACTGTTGATCATAATAGAGACATGGACTCTGCCTTGTTTTCTAGCTAAAGTGATCCAAAGACGAAATACTTACTTATCAAAACCTTTTAATTTTTATATCTTACTATGTATCCATTTTTAAATGTGATAGAGCCATATGAACTGATAAGCAAGAGTAAATCTAACAAAACATGTATAGGATTTGTATGTTGAAAACTACAAAATACTGATGAAAGAAACCAAAGAAGAGTAAAATAAACGGAGAGACACACCATGTTCATTAACTAGAAGACTCAACATGGTAAAGATATCCCTTCTCAAATTGATATTCAGGTTTAACATAATTCCCATCAAAATTCCAGCCAGAAAATAGATTGCATTTTAGTTGGGATGATTCAATTAATATTAATTTTCTTAGGTATGATAATGGTATTGTGGCTAGGTAGGAGAGATGCATGCTGAAATATTTATAAATGAAAGGTCATGAAGTCTACACTTTAATTTTAAATGGTTTAGGCTTTAAAATAAAAGTCTACAAAGATAAAGCAAATACAGCCAAATGCTTACTAGTGAATCTACAGAAAGGGCACAAGAATGTTTATTATACTAGTCTCAACTTTTCTATAGATTTAAATTTTTTCAAAATGAAAAATTTGGGTGGAGTTTGAGAAATTGTGACAGAACAACAGAATATCTATATGGAAAATAAACTTGACCCCCACTTTATACCATATACTGTCATTAGGAGAATGACTAAACAAATTGTGGAATCTATAATAAAAGAATAATATGCAAATCAACCAAACAGCGGAACAACCGTCCGGATGACCTTTCTGATGAAGCCAGGGCTGCGAGGCCGAGGAAGCCAGAGCTGCAAAGGCCTACTCTTGCATGAATTTTGTGCATCGGGCCTCTAGTATTTATATAAAACAGTACTACTACTTTGGCCGGTGTGGCTCACTTGGTTAAGCATTGTCCCATACACTAAAGACTCTCAGGTTCAATTCCTAATCAGGGCACACACCCAGGTTGTGGTTTCAATCCCTGTCGGAGTGCATAGCAACTTCTCAATGTTTCTCACATCCACGTCTCTGTGTGTGTGTCCCTCCCTCCCTCCCTCTCTCCCTCTCCCTTCCTCTCTGTAGAATCAATGAAAAACATATCCTCGGGTGAAGATTGAAAACACACACACACAAAAATAGTACTACTTAGCAATATAAAAAGGAAAGAATTGATCTACTCAACAAAAGAACTTAGACACAAAAAGAGTACATACTGTATGATCTATTTATATGAAGTTCTAGAACTGGTGAAAAAATTAGAACAGTGGCTTCCTCTTGGGTGTGGGCAGGAATTTAGGGAGTTTTGTGTGGTGACGGAAATGTTCTATAGCTTAATGAGTGTGGATTACATTGGTGCATCCATTTGTCAAAAATTGTACAATTCGTCCTGCTGGTGTGGCTCAGCGGTTGAGCTTGGACCCAGGAACTGAGAGGTCACACTTTGATTCCCAGTCAGGGCATATGCCTGGGTTGTGGGCTCGATTCCCAGTAAGGGGTGTGCAGGAGGCAGCCGATCGATGATATTCTCTCTCATGGATATTTCTATCCCTCTCCCTCTCTCTCTAAAAATCAATAAAAAACATTTTAACAATTGTACAGTTTAAGAGTTATATACCTTTTAAAAACTGAATGGAAGGGTGGGGAGTATACATGAAACAAGAATGGCAGTTGGTGAAACCAAGTGATAGGTACAAGTGGGCTTACCATACTGTTTTAACTTTGCACAAGTTTGCATTTTTCCATAACAAAAAGGAAGGAAATGGGTTAGGGAGCCAGAGAAATTTGGGTTTGAACCTTATCCTCATCCCATTTTAGCCACAAGAAAACATCCATGAACCTCTATTTTCAACATGTAAAAATGAGAGTAAGACAATCACATTTCAGGTTGATAAGGATTAGGGCTCCTGTGCTTTGCTGAAGGAAATAAAGCCACTTACCAACTAAATCAGCCTGGAGAGGTAAAAGTCTGAAACTGGGAAATTGGATGAATGTCAAAGATGGCATCAGTCTAAGGGAGGCCTTGAATGACAGTATTGTAACCCTAACCCAACAGGCAGTTGGAATCTGCTAGATATTTTTAACTTTTTTAAATGATGTCAAGTTATGTACATTGTTAATAGTTAACTTAGAAACATAATACAATTGCACTAAGGACAGAACAAATAAGTGGACTTTAAAAATTATTATTTTTAGCCTGATGACACGACGAACTTCCCTGGGAAACAACACAATGGTTCTTATAAACTAGCTTTTATTTGGGGAGGGAAAAGGGCATGGAACTTGTTGAATGTGTCAAAATGGGTTAAATGGATATTTTAAACTATGAGCTCATAGTTTAACTATTTTCAAAATACAGTATAAGAAATAGAGGAATGATAAAAATATAATTTATCATCCATGCTAAGATTATCAGTCCAAATCTATAATCACAAGGAGACAACAAAGATAGGCTAATTAAAGCCTAGGCTTTTAATTGGAAAACAGGTGAGGGTAAACATGATAAATCCTTGATCAGGTAGAGACCTGTAGGTCCAAACTGGAAGGGAGGATGGCAATATAAGCATACAATGGAAAGGTACATAACACAGTATGATAGAGTTTGGTGGCTTGATAGGGGGAAAAAAGCATATCAGAAAGACCATGTTAAGAAAGCTAGACTTTAGACTTTGCCTAATTAACTTCACTCATTCTCAAATGTTAGTTTGAGTCATTTCTTGGCCACCTTTGCCTCCCCAAGTTTAGATCAAATTCTCTTACACATTCATAGGACCATATTTTGTTCACAACATTCATTCATTACGGTTTATAATTGTTGAGTACCAGGTTTCTCTCACTAAGTTCTAGAAGAAAGGGTCTGGATTGGTTTTACTCTCCATTATCTCCAAGTGCCAAATACAGTGCTTGGCACCAAGCAGGTGCTCAAAATCTGAATAATTCTTAAAATTCAATCAGACTTAGGAATTAAGGACAATGAGTATATTACATTGTCCAGAGGACTGTGGGCAAAGCTGTTCTTAGGGGGGGAGGGGAACTCACGGCTTTAAATCCTTTAAACAAACTGAACATTCTATTCAAGAGATTGGGAAGTTGGGGGTGGGGGGGAGTTGGACTGAAAAAAGTAATGACTTGAAACAAAATCAGTAGAAGTAATCTTTGAAAAGACCCATAAAATAGATCACTGGCAAGGCTAATCAAGGGACAGAGAAACCCCAAATGCATAATGTTCAGAATAAGTAAAGTGATATAACAACAGATTAAATAAATTTAAAATATGATAGAATATTATCTACAACTCTAACCAAGCATATTAAAACACTTAAGTAAAATGGATACTTTTCTAGAATAATAAAAGAACAAACAAAAAGAAAATCTGCGTTGTTTATGAACCATGATGAATATATGAAGTTTCATCATACTGACTGTTCTGTACATTTGGAGGACTAAAATTGCTCAGCACCTGTCTCATACATAAAGCTGACCAACCGTGTGCACAGCCCATTCCATCAGCTTGAGAGCAGCAGTCTAGCAAGTCGAGTCAACCGACACACAGAAAATACCAAACATCAAAAGAAACTCAGGTGGGCCCCGCAGGGTCCAGGTTAGGCAATTAAGGGGGAACACAGAATGAAGAACGCAGCTTTGCACACCAACAGCCCAGTGCGCCTGCGCGGGGTAGCGGCTGCTCGGCTCCCAGCTGGGGGCGGAATCGCCGACTCCCCGAGTCACGTGGCAAGGGGCGGGGCGCGCGGGACGTGCCGCCGCGTCGTCGCGGGCTCAATGGGCGGTGGCAGAGCATGTGTACTCTGCTGTTGCTCGCCTGGGACCCTCTAGCCGGCCAGAAGCTGAAGCCAGCGGCTGCGGGAACACGGCCGCGGAGGAAGAGGGCAAGGACAGCCGGAGGCAGGCCGGACGTCCCTCTCCGAGGCTGAAGGGCCCGGGCTTCGGGGGGGTCATGGCATCGCTGGCGGAGAGAATGAGGGGCAATGGGCGCATCGCCGCCGGGCTCCTGCTCAACCTGCTGGTGTCCATCTGCATCGTGTTCCTCAACAAATGGATCTATGTGCACCACGGCTTCCCCAACATGAGCCTGACCCTGGTGCACTTTGTGGTCACCTGGCTGGGCTTGTACCTCTGCCAGAAGCTGAACATCTTTGCCCCCAAGAGTCTGCCGCCTTCCAAGCTCCTCCTCCTGGCCCTCAGCTTCTGTGGCTTCGTGGTCTTCACCAACCTTTCTCTGCAGAACAACACCATCGGCACCTATCAGCTGGCCAAGGCCATGACCACGCCGGTGATCATAGTGATCCAGACCCTCTGCTACAAGAAAACCTTTTCCACCAGAATACAGCTCACGCTGGTGAGTAGCTTCAGCTTCGCAAGGCGCTCCTCTAGCATCCCACCTCCTGGACTGTCTTTTTCACCGGGAATTTTGAATGTTTAACCTTGCGCCACGCTTTTTTTCATCATCTTGAAGTCCACACACGTGTCATCTGTGTGCATGTTAGTTTAAGGCTTACTTGGGGGAGATGGAAAAAAGCCATCCTGACACTCCCTTGGGCTCTTAGCCTACAAGTGTGCTTGGTCATTTTAATAACTACTGTTTGTTGGAGATCCTTAAATGCTGTGGTCGGTAAGAAAAGAAAGCTGCATTGGGTAGTGCAATTCAGTCCATTAGATATCTGCAAAATCTCAAACCGAAAACAGCCCACCTCCCCCAGGGGAACCAAACCATGTATGATAAACGTTAAAGGTTTAAGATAAAATATGCCTTAGACTATGTCAGCAGCCACATTCTGCAGTGATTTCTGCATCTATAAATAGAAGGAAATGGACTAAAATAATCTTAGCTCTTAATAATTTACAATATTTAAGATCCAAATGCTATTGTTATATGTTTATGTTTATATGTTGTTTAGACACTAATTTGAGGGTTCTTTTCCTCCTATGTCCCTACATATGGTATTCATTTCTTGCAAAGTGCAATGCATTAACTCATTATTTTACCCAAAGTTTTAAATAGAATTAAATGAGAACTATCATATTTAACTTTAAGGAAACAGGATTAACAGTCAATGTTTTCAAATAGAAAAGAAAAATGTGTAGAGGTTCATTGTTTCCTAGTGATTTTTTTAAAAATTAACTTTGTAAGACACCATGAAAGGAATACTCTTGAACTTAATCTGAACAACATTTACCTCTTTTTCTTTACAGATTCCTATAACTTTAGGTGTAATCCTAAATTCTTATTACGATGTGAAGTTTAATTTCCTTGGAATGGTGTTTGCTGCTCTTGGTGTTTTAGTTACATCCCTTTATCAAGTGGTTGGTAATTTTTTTTTCTTTATGTGCCTTTTTAGCAGATTTCATAATTGAAGCTGTATCCCAAGGTTTATAAAATACAGTATAGAGACAATAGACTGTTAGGAAGAAAGCATCATTGCATAACTTGTCTGACTCAAGGTGAAGAGAAGAAAGGAGACAGAGAAACTTGGGTGTGTGATGCTCACCAAATACCCACCTACCTGTTTGTAAGTGTATAATACCCATGCTTAACAGTTTGAGTTTGGGGTGGTGTTGCATTTTCTGGGAATTCTTCACAAAATGAGTAATAAGACTTTTTGCTTGAGGACTGAGTTCATGGGTTACATGTATCATTTACTCTTAAATTATAACATTATGAAAGGAGTGAGTACACTTTCAAAAATTTGAATGGGAAAGGAAAATTACAGATTTATAAATCTTTGCCTCAAAAAATACGCTACTGTTACAACTTGTATATTGGCTTCGGATAATTTATATCAATATTTTATAGCAATGGGTATTTCACTTCTTGTACTAGCACAGTGTCTTGCCTATATAGCAGGCATTCATTAAAAATTTGCTCATGGATCCACTTACTTCATTACCATAAAATCTGAACAAGTATATTTTTTGTTTTTTATATTGGGCGGGGAAGTAATTTGGTGTAGGGTACAGTGAAACAGTATTTTCTCTATACTGGAAACCTTGGACTGAAAATTCTGGGTGTGCCTGCATGGGGAAATTAGAGTCAAAATGTGTAACCAATTTTACTTTTCTTGCAAACATCCACTAGTTATAAACTAAGGCATTCTTACTGAGTGTTAGAAGTTTAATGATACACCCTTAGCATCTTAAACTTTATAATACTGATCATTTCAGAAACATTGTTATGTAAACATTCTGGGGTTGAATACATATTTTAGTGGCAGAGAAGCAGTATGAAAAAGACACCAGCGGTATGAAAGGATGAGCACCCACTCAGTCTTGTCACTTGGCTCCCAGAAATTATCTTTTACTGCAGAGAGTAACCAGAGGAAGCTCAGCTTTGTGCTTTAAGAACATTATACTGGGTGTACTGCAGTGAGTTTAAATTTTGTTTTAGATAAAGTAAATGAGCATTCTTTTCTGCTAAATGAACTTATTTTTCTTTGCCCAGTATGGATTAAATATTTATTAAATATGGCAAGAACTTTTGTTGAACATTAGACTTTCTTGTATTCACTATATATAATTTAAATTCAGAGCACTCACTGTTCATGCCAATATGAACATTTTTGTCCACACAAGTCCCAACATGTTATAGATTAGAATCAAAGGATTCAATATCCCTCAGGTGGATATTTGAAATGAGAGTGACCAAGGAATGATTGTAGACTAACAAATGGGCAGAGTTCTTCATTATTAGTAAGTGGTAAAAGTACTGTTACAAAATAGGTATATTTCCCCAAAATTCATTTTAAAGAAAGTTGCATTTTCCCATTGTATCCAGGTATAATTTCTCAGTTATTTCTGCTGGGGCATTAGAAGGAGTTAAAAGATGAGTGGTCAGCTTTGTAGAAATACTGTTGTGGAAAGACTATTGATTCATTCAGCAGACATTTCTTCTGCTTTATGCTTAGCCTTGAGGATACAAAGATGAAAAGCAGCTATAATCCAGTATTGTAGAAACACGTTTAGACAGCTGATCACAAGTAGGATAGCTCAGGGTATGAGGAGAGTTCTGAGGTACACCGGGGAGGAAGTGGCTGTTCTACCCCAGAAGGTGGTGGGTTAAGTCTTCATAGAAACGTGAAAAATTTACATCGAAGAACAGGCGAATTTGCTTAGCAAATAAATATAGCAGAGGTCTTTCTTTGCAGTGATGGAGCATTCTTGGAGAACTTGATTTGTTTGGTGAGACTGTTGTGGAAGGACAAGGCTTAGGGGTGGGTGGGACCAGATGGCAGAGTCTTAGCTGTCATGAGAAGGAAGTGTGCTCTTCACCCTGCAGGCATCAGGAAAGGAGTGTGGATAGGGGAGTCACTTGATCATTCCCTGTGTTTTAGAAAATTAACTCATGGTAATGAAGAATGAATAAGAGAGGGAAGGAAGGGTAACAGTTCGGAAGCTCTCCATGGTTCAAGGAGAAGACAGGAGGGTGCTGATGAAGCACAGTGGTAGTGGAATAGGTCAGGGAAAACACTCCAGAAACCTTTTAAAGAAAGAATGAGTGGGACCTGACTGAATGTGAGAGCAAGGAAAGCAAGGAGTCTGATCCTTGGAGGAGATTATATCAATTATTGGAGCAACGCAAGAGGAATTAATTTGGGGGAGGAAGAAATGAGCTTGATTCTAAACAAGTCCTGATTCAAGCATGTCAAACTCGCAACAGGCGGGCCTCATGCCTCGTTTAAATAAATGTGGCTAGAAAGGTGTGTGAGGTCTTTCAATTCACTTTAAAAAGTCCAGTCGATGGTAAAAGGAATTTTCCTCTTTAAATATACAAGGCATGTGGCCCACCAGCTGCGAGTTTGACATGCTTGCGGGTGAGGATGACTCATAAACTGTTGAAGATGTGAGCTTAAGGATGCTCAAGGAAAGAGGTCAGAGCTGTAGATGTCAGCAGATAGTAATAGAAATCAGTTAGGGAGTTAAAAGAGGAAGGCCAGACACCAACCTTAAAAACAGTAAGTGAAGGAAGGGGTGAGGAAGGAAGCAGTGCAAACCAGAGGTCAGGTTCTTCCAAGAGAAATTTTCAGATTCTGCAGAGAGCTCCAGCAGGAGGAGATTGGAAGGGAGTTCTTTGGATGGAGCTATTGGAGGTGATGGTGCCCTTTGAGGGAGCAGTTGCGTTAGAGGGGTGGTGGGCAGAAGCCAGGCTGCGCTGCAAGAAGAGGAAGTAGAGGCCCTGACTCACCAGGCGGGTCTGTGTCAGAGATACCCAGCTGCCTGGCGAGGCTGCCAGAGGGACAGGGGTACACTCTGCCTTCATTTTTGCTCACTGGTGCCCCAAGGATCCAGCAGCAGAAGAATCAATTCTTTGTCCTTCATGGTCACAGAAGACTGTTAGTTAAGGCTAGCAGGAGTATGTGTCAGATTTCCTGCTCTTTTATTTTTGTGTTGGTGAAGTTCTATAGACTTAGAGTATATGTAATAGGATACCCAGACCGACAGGAAAAAGAATTATGTAGGAGCAGTTATTCAAATGCCTGGCTGTTTTTGCCAGATCGTATTCAAACCGCCCTATCAAGCTTTCTTTAAGCAGTTATAATTGTGAAGCATTTAGAGGACTGGTGGGATTTGGCTTTGAGGTGCTGATTCTGCTGAATGATATAGTTGTTTAGGGTTTGTGATCATCTCATTTCTCGACGTGTATTAGTGGGAGATTACCCACAGAAAAGTCATCCATAAAGAGGAATTGAAAGACCTCAGTCCTTTTACCATTGACTGGGCTTTTTAAAGTGAATTGAAAGACCTCACACACCTTTCTAGCCACAAACATTGGCAGCCACCTGGGGTAACTGAGGTTCCTGTCTGTCTCTAATTAGTCTGCCCTTTCCCCCAGTTTTTTTGTGGGGGCGCATTTTAGAAAGAAATGAAGTCGGACACTGCATCTGTATTCCTACTAATGACCAAAATTTCCATTCCTGACATATTTTCCTGAGATCTCTTATGCTTGTGGGCTCATGTATGCATGGATATCCCTACTTACTAGAATCAGGAGGGAAGAGAGGATCTGTTTCTTCTTCTTTATAATTCAGAAGAAAATACATGATCAAAAGAAAGAAAAAAAACTAAAATGAGAAAAAAAAGAAAATACATGATCAGACACTGAGTTAATAAAGCTCCTCTCATCCACGGTGCTTTAAGAACATTTGTATATGTTACTGATCTTTGAAATTTTGTAGAATAATCAGGCATTTCCTCTTCCCCCAGTCCTGTGCCCCACATTTCCATCTTTGTGGCTAGAGTTGCATCTTTGCTTTATAGTAATACTATTTTTTTTTCTGCCTAACTGGTTTTATCTCCTAATTTTCAGTGGGTAGGAGCCAAACAGCATGAATTGCAAGTTAACTCAATGCAGCTGCTGTACTACCAGGCTCCAATGTCATCGGGCATGTTGCTGGTCGCAGTGCCCTTCTTTGAGCCACTGTTTGGAGAAGGAGGACTCTTCAGCCCCTGGTCAGTTTCTGCTTTGGTGAGTTCTAATTGTTTTTTTGTGTCTAAGAAACAAAATAATAACAATCCCTCCATTATTAATGCAATTTTAATGTTCAGAGCACTGTTTCAGATCCATCCTCATATTTAATATTCATCATTATCCTTTCAGGGAAGCAAAGTAAGAATTATTTTTTAAAAATATATTTTATTGATTTTTTACAGAGAGGAAGGGAGAGGGATAGAGAGTTAAAACATCGATGAGAGAGAAACATCGACTAGCTGCCTCCTGCACACCTCCTACTGGGGATGTGCCTGCAACCAAGGTACATGCCCTTGACCGGAATCACACCTGGGACCCTTCAGTCCCCAGGCCGACGCTCTATCCACTGAGCTAAACCGGTTTGGTGTAAGGATTATTTTTTAGATGAAGAAACTGAGGCATGAAGATTAAGGGACTTGCTTAGGGTCAGACAGATAGTGACAAAACCAGGCCTAAAATTCAGGTCTGCTAATGCCTGATTACTGTTCTGACCACTCAATGCTATAGCCCACAAATAATTCAGGCACCTACTTTTATTTTACTTTTTTACAGTGAAAATATAGGCTTATTGATTTTGTTTTTATCTTCTTTCTTCTTAAAGAAATCCATTAACATTTCTTTCTCTTTTTTAAAAATATATTTTATTGATTTTTTACAGAGAGGAAGGGAGAGGGATAGAGAGTTAGAAACATCGATGAAAGAGAAACATCAATCAGCTGCCTTCTGCACACCCCCTACTGGGGATGTGCCCGCAACCAAGGTACATGCCCTTAACCGGAATCGAACCTGGGACCCTTCAGTCCACGGGCCGACGTTCCATCCACTGAGCCAAACCGGTTAGGGCAACATTTCTTATAATGTTGGTTTAGTGGTAATGAACTTCTTTAGCTTTTTCTTCCCTGGAAAGCTCTTTATTTCTCCTTTAATTTTAACTGATAGCCTTGTGGGGTAGAGTAGTCTTGGTTGTAGGTCCTTGCTTTTCATCACTTTGAATATTTTGTGCCATTCCCTACTGGCCTGAAATGTTTCTGTTGAGAAATCAGCTGACAGTCTTAGGGGAGCTCCCTTATAGTTAACTTTCACTTGCTGCTTGGATTTGTTTGATAATATAAATAGTACATGGTCATTGTATAGATTTTGAACATACATAAAAATATAAAGAAAATGAAGGTCCTCTAAAACCAAGATAATCACCTTTATCTTTTTTGTGATTATTTCATCTATCTATTTTTCAGATACATAGACACACACGTATGTGTGTTTGTATGTGTGGATATATAATTTTATATGCACGGATCCTTACCATATATGCTTTTTTTTTTCCATCATGGATTCCTTTTCCCCATGCACACTTCCACGTATCATTATCCCATTCCTGTCCCTTGAAGTAAAACATGTCAACATTTAGTATTTGTTGTTTCATATTTTCCTCCTTGGTATACATACCCATATATCAACATACACAAAGCACACATGTATTTATACATAAATAAACATTTGTTTGGTTACAAAAATGGCATCATATCACATGATTTTCTGTATCTAACTTTTCTCACGTAATATCTCATGAAAGTATCTTTTTTTAAAGTAACTCTTTTTTAAATATATATATATTTTATTGATATCAGAGAGGAAGGGAGAGAGAGAGATAAAAACATCAATGATGAGAGAGAATCATTGATCGGCTGCCTCCTGCACACCCTCTCCTGGGGATCGAGCCCACAACCCAGGCATGTGCCCTTGACCAGAATTGAACCGGGGACCCTTCAGTCCACAGGCCGATGCTCTATCCACTGAGCCAAACCGGCTAGGGTGAACTGGTACTTTTTTTTAATGAAATAGAATCCTAAGAGTAGAATTGCCAGATCAAAGGGATATGTACTTTGGTGATATTTTAAGTTAGAAAGTATAATCTCCCACTTAGGGAAGGAATGTCTGCTTCCCATGTAACCTTTGGAACACAGTCAATAGGAATGTCTTTTTTTGTTAGTGGTGTTAACTTATCAAACTTACATAACCCTCAGTCTATTTTAGGCTCTATTATAAGCACTTTGCAAATATTAACTTGCTTATAACAATTTTATTGTGTGGATCCATGCTATTTTCTCCCTATATTGACTGATGAGGAAACAGAGACAGAGAGTTAAGTAACCGACTTGAGATCCTACAGCTAGTAAGCAGAGCTAGAATTTGAATCGATGCTTTCTGGCTCCAAAGTCCATATTCTTAACCAATCCACTGTGCTGCCTGTAAGCAGATTGATAGTTGTTTTAAATTCACGTGCTTTGACGTAAATCCCCTTTTTTATTTGTCTAAAATTTTACATATGTCTCCTTTTTCCCTCTTGACACCCCTCCCTCCCCCCGCCAGCCATTCCCACCCCGGGCAAGCCCCCACCAACACAAACCCTTTTTTCCAAAGTAGAAATTGCTGTCCCCTCTGTCAGATATTTCCTATTAATCTTACAAAAGTTCTAACCATCTTAGTGATCTGGTCTTCAAACCATTGCAGCGTAGACATCTTAAATTAGAAAGGGAGAGGTTTTTTGCCATAGGTCCTCTGACAAATTTGAAAGAAGAGAGCAGCAGAAAGACCATAAGGCAAGTCAGAGAAACTTAGTGTACAGCAGTCCAAGGCCATTTCAGTAAGGGAAAGTCACCTTCCTTCTTTAATGTCCCTAGAGGGCATCATTGCCTCAAAATAGAGCTTGTAATTGTATTTTTAATGCTAAGTCATCAAGAATAAGTATGTAACATTCTGTGAACTCAATAAAATTAACAATGATATATTTCTAGGAACAGTTTTTAAAATCTTCAAGGAGTTGCCCTAACCAGTTTGGCTCAGAGGATAGAGCATCGGCCCTCGGACTGAAAGGTCCAGGGTTCGATTCTGGTCAAGGGCATGTACCTTGGTTGCGAGTTCGATCCCCAGTAGGAGGCGTACAGGAGGCAGCTGATCGATGTTTCTCTCTCATCAATGTTTTAACTTTCTATTCCTCTCCCTTTCTCTCTGTAAAAGTCAATAAAATATATATTTTTAAAAATATTTAAGGAGCAAGTTTCTCTTAATTGAAAATTTATGACCAATGTCACCCCAATCGATTTAATAAAAAAATAAGATAAAGAAAGAAAATGTAATGGGCCTCACTTTTATTAAACAAATGACAGATTACTCTTTTTACCTAAGTAAGACACAAATCCAACTCCACTAGGCCTCTTATGACTGTGCTGATCTGAAACTGAAAAAACCCACATGAGACAGAAAGAATCTTCAAATATGACTTATTCATCTCTTTGGAATGTAAACTACTTACTAATTCAAATCATAACTAATATTTTATCTAAACTCTCTTATTTTAGAAATAAAAAATGACTTTATAACTTTTAAAATAAAAGTGTGAGATAGGTTTGAACAGAATGCTGTATACGTATACAGTGGTTCAGCCCACGTTGTTCCCCAGTCCTCAGCCAAGTTGTCTTATTCACTATCCTATGTATGTACCTTTTGTTTTCATGCCTCCATGCTTTGACCCATACTGTTCCCTCTGCTTGAAATCCCGCCCCCTCTTTTTTCTTTAATGGACACATACATTTGAAATCCAAAGACTTTTCTCATTATCCCAGCCCAAAATGGTGTGTCCTGCCTAGAGATTCATATAGAACCTATATTGTCTGTTTGCCTATAAATGAGGTAGCTCATATTCTTTTATTGCCTGAGCCAGAAATCTTGCATTGCACTCTCACTTTCATGTGGCTAAGAGGTAGCATAAGAAAGTGGGTTAAGAGCAGGGTCTCCATTACCAGATTGCTGGGTTTAAATCTCAGCCCACCACTTCCTGGCTGTGTGGTCTCAGGCAGATTACTTCACCTCACTGTGTCCTGTTTTCTCATCTATAAAAGGGATAATATTTTACTACCTCATGGGGTTTGTGAGGATTAAATGAAGTAATATATGTAAAAATTTTTATATGTAAAATATTTAGGACAATTCTTGGCACATAATAATGACTATGTAAGTGTAAGCTATGATTACCATGACTTTGTGTCCTTAAGTGTTTTCTAAGCTCTTTGAGGACAAGAACATACTGTGTTCCTCACAAGGCGTGGCCTCGTTTTGTAGATATCCAATGAATACATATTGATTTAATTTAAATAAGAACAAATATGAGCAATTCAATAGAAGAAAGATCTGGAAGAATATATGCTAAAGTATTAACAGTGGTTGATGGTTGGGATTATAAGAATTAATGTTTCTCTTTATTTTCTGATTTTTCTATGATAAACATGTATTACTTTCATAATAATAAATTTTTTAAAAAAGTAATTTTTCTTCAGATGGATAAGAAAATGAACTTGGATATTCACATTCAGAGGCAGGATATTATTGGAGAACTTGAGGCCTGGTGTATGAAATTCATGCACAGGGAGGGGGTCCCTCAGCCCGGCCTGCACCCTCTCCAATCCGGGATCCCTCTTGCAATCCAGAACCACTGGCTCCTAACTGCTCACCTACCTGTCTGCCTCATGCCCCCAACTGCTCCCCTGCTGGCCTGATGGCCCTAACTGCTTTCCCCTGCTGGCCTGATCCTCCTAACTCCTCTCCCCTCTGGTCTGATCGCCTTAACTACCTAAATGCTCTCACCTCCTGGCCTCATCCCCGTAACTGCCTATCTGCTCTTCCCTCCTGGCCTGATCGCCCTAACTGCCTATCTGCTCCTCCCTCCTGGCCTGATCCCCTTAATTGCCTATCTGTTCTCCCTTCCTCTCCTTGCCCTTTGGACCTGAGGCACAGGTGTGCTGAGAGCTCTCTGCCGCGTCCCCCCCCTCCTGATTGGTCCTTACATGACAGCATCCCGGACAATTTGCATATTCCTCTATTATTAGTATAGATTTTCCTTTCAGTTTTTTTAGACAAAATTACATTTCTGAATATTATTTATTCTATTCTTTTACCTTCAATTCTTGTTGTCTTTCAAATTGATTCTTTAAAAAAAAAAAACAAAAAAAACCAAAAGAATAGTTTATTGATTTTTAGAGAGAGGAAGGGAGAGGAAGATAGAGAGAAACATTAATGTGAGAGCACAACATCGATGATCAGCTGCCTCCTGCATACCCCCTACTGGGGATCGAGCCCCAAATCTAAGTATGTGCCCTTGAACAGGAAACAAACCGGCAACCTCCTGGTGTAAGGGACAACGCCCAACCAATTGAGCCACATTGGCCAGGGTTTAAATTGATTCTTTTTAAAAATTTTGTTCCTAATGGTTGATATTTGAGTTTTTAGAAATGCCTAATGAAATGTATTTTCACTTGAAGATTATAATGATTGAAGCTGCATTAATGATTCTTTTGCTTTATTTGTAGCTTATGGTGCTTCTATCTGGAGTAATAGCTTTCATGGTGAACTTATCAATTTATTGGATCATTGGGAACACTTCACCAGTCACGTATCCTTTTCCTAATGACTTACAAATGCATAGTCTTTTATATTTTTCTAAAACACCATCACATTAACTTTCTTGAGTCTGACAATTACTATTGCATGGCCTAATTTGAGTAGAGTGAGTTATTTTTAATCATTAATCATCTCATTCCACACTAAAGTCTGTAGAAACTTAAAGAAATGCGAACTGGGAAAATGCATTAGCTTTCTGTATCATGAACATTCTTTCATTTTCTCACGTCATAGATGACCATTTCCCTTATCAAAATTAACATAGAAAACCATTTCTTGCACAGTGGGGTTAAAGAAATGTTTGTGGGTTGAATAATGGGATGGATGCTTGGGTCTTCAGTCAATTCTCAGTTATCTATAGTAATAAAGTAGAGGTGTGGTTATCCACATAACAAAATATAACCAGGCCTCTGAAATTGGCATGTGACCTCTGAATTCTAGCATATGTTTTTGTACATATGTGGATATGGGTGTGCCTGTTTTTCTCAGTATTTAAGAAATGAAGTCATACCCTGAAGGTCTGAATCAAACTCAACTACCAGTTCTTAACATTCTGCTTGTCATTCTGTTTCTTTTCTCATTTCACTTTGCTCCACTCTTAGGCAAATGCAAAGAATGGACTTCTTTACATCAGAGAGGTAGTTTAGCAATGTTATGTCATAGTGGACTGATTTATATAAGTGAGTGAACACTGATGTCATCAAAGTAAAAAAGCATCCTACTTGCCAATTATCAATAAATAACAGCAATAATAATCACTTTTTTAAAAGAACAACACTTAATAAATGTTTATTTTGTGCCAGGTACTTTTCCAATCACCGTGGGTATGTTAGGCATTTAGTTCTCACAGCAGCTCTGTGAGGTAAATTCTATTACTATATTTTGCAGAGGAGGAAGTTGAGGTGCAGAGAGTGTCAATAACTCAAGGTCGTGTAGCTGAGAAGTGCTGCATCTAGATTTCAAACCATGCAGTCTGGTCCCCAAACTCCTGCACCATGCTGCCACGTCAAGGCATCCAAGTGTGTGCCCTTAATAAGAACATTTATGCATTCAACAAACATCTATTGAACACCCACTGTAAACTGTTCAGTGACTTACTATTTACATATTGAATATCTACTATATGTCAGGCACTAGAGATGTAATGAAATAGACAAAAATCTTTGCTCTCATGGGCTTAAACAGACTATCAACAAAACACAAAAGAAAATATACAGATTTATGTTAGTTAGTGTTAAGTGCCAGGGAGAAAAAATAAAGCAGGGATGAGGATACGGAATGTTGCAGACAGAGTGAAATTTTAGGGGGAGAAGTCAGGAAGGCCTCTGTAAGAAGGGGACTTTTGAGTAAAGACCTGAAGGGAAAGAGGTTACAAGGCAGATCAGGATGAATAGCATTTTAGGCGAGGGAACAGTGGGTGAGGAGCCCAAAGGAGCAACAAGGGGGCCCTTGTGGTTGGAGCAGGAAGCGCAGAGGGAGGTGTGTAGTAGGACTGAGAGGTGAGAGGGAGCCAGGTGGGGCAGAGCTCTTACAGAAGGACCGTCCCTCTGAGTGAGAAGGGAAGCCACTGGAGTTTCGAGCAGAGAAATGACATGATTTTACTTATGTTCTAATAGGGTCACTCTGGTCCACCGTGTCAAGAATAGAGTAAAGCAGTGTTTCCCAAATCAGTGCTATTGGCCTTTTTGGCCAGACAATTCTTTGTTGCAGGGGCCGTCCTATGCATCGTAGAATGTTTGGCAGGATCCCTGGCCTCTGTAGATGCCAGTAGCACTCCCTGTCCCCAGTTATGTATCAGACCTTGTCTAGGTGGCAGAGTCCACCCCTCATTATATCCACTGCTACCATTGAACCGAACCACTGGACTGCACGAAGCAAGGCAGGAAAGGAAATTGTCGAGGCCATTGCAATATTCTAATTTAGAAGTAACAGTGGTTTGGTCCCAGGGTGGTAGCAGTGGATACAGTGAGAAGTTATTGGATTCTGAGTATTTCTTAAAATATTGTTATTGATTTTTCTTAGAGAGAGAGGAAAGGAGAGGGAGAGGGAGAAACATTGATGTGAGAACAGAATATCAATCGACTGCCTCCTGCACACCCCCTACCAGGGATTGAGCCCTCAACCGTGGCATGTGCCCTGACTGGGAATTGAACCAGTGACCTTTCAGTGCACGGGAAGACGCCCAACCAACTGAGCCACACCGGCCAGGGCTGGATATATTTAAGTAGAACCAACAGGTTTTTCTGACAAATTGGATGTGGAGAATATGAGGGAAAACAAGGTTGACTCCTTTGGTTTTGTCCTGAGCACATGGTAGAATGGAGTTGCCATCAGCTGGGATGGGACAGCCCTGAGGTTTGGGGGTGGGGAGGAAGAGCACATGCTCAGTTTTGGGTGAACAGGTCTGGAAGCTCAGGGTCTTAGCTGGGGAGAGTCCAGAGAGAGCCAGTGGTTTAAAGTGGTGAGACTGGTTGAGAAGGCCAAGCAGACAAGTAGAAGAAAAGACGCCCAAAGATGGAATCCTGCGCCATTCAGTGTTTCGAGCTCAGAGGGATGAGAGGAGCCAGGCGGAAGAGACAGGGAAGGCGCGACCGAGGTGGAAAGGAAGGAGAGTGCTGTAGAAACCAAGTGAGGAGGGATGCCACCGACAGGTCAGGTGCGAGCGAGACTGGTAATCCATGGAGGGGGTTCACAGGCAGAGGTCCTACAGTTTTGAGAAGAGCTTTCAGGGTGCCGAAGTGAAAGTTAACGAGTGGAAAATTGGAGAGAGGAATTGTAAATACCAAGTATAGCTGCTCCTCTTTATTGACAAAAGGATTCACTGAAGAATTTCTTTAAATTAGCCTTCCCTCTTGTGTAAATATCTTTAACACATCGTGATCTACTTAAAAGAGGCTGGGGGATAAAGGAATGCCAAAGCGGTAGAGGCAGTGCACTTGAAGATAGCTCCTCATTGGAAATAAGCATAGTTCTCATGATGATCCTTGGGAAGATCCTGTCTCTGAGGAAGTCGCCTCTGTTGGGTCAGGCAAGCTCAGGTAACCCTGTGACACGCCAGCACTTTCCTGCTGAGAGGAACTTCCAGGCTGCTCAGTCGGCCCCAGAACAGAGCAAAGAGCCTAGGCTTTGAAGTGAGGCAGATCAGGTGCGCACGCCAGCTCTGCCCCTACCTGTGGGCCTGAGCAAGGTGTGAGAGCTCTCGGACCTCACTCTCGTCACTTATGAAATGGGGGAAATAATATCTACGAAATGATGGTTGGTTGTTTGCGTGTTTGAGAGACTATGTGTCAGGCACCACCTGGCAGGTGTTTATTATGCATAAATACTGCTGCTGATAACTATTACTATAGCTAACACATAGGGTGCTTAGTGCCTGGCATGTCATTGGGGCTCAGTATTGCTTCCTTCCCCTCCCCCGACACCCTCCTGAATAAGCATAGGGTGAGCTTGCCTTGAGGCAGCTCTCTGGTGCCTTACACATCGCATCTCACCTCACTTGCCAAGGGAAGTTATTATTAGAAATGGCACTTCGAAATAGCCATAAATTGCTGTACAAAACGTCTTCCCTCTACCTTGCTCGGAATTCCTTTCCTAACCTTCTGTTTTAGCCCCTTTTCTCTCTTCGGAGAGGTGAGCAAGAATAGCTGACGCAGTCTCCTGTCACTGGCTCATTGCTGAAACCTACCTGTGGAACTAGGATTCACCCAGCACTTCACTGAAGCTCCTGTTGTTCTTTAGACGAGGGGCAGGGTGGACAGCTAGCTGTTCCAGCTGTGTGTCAAGCAGTTCTTTCCAGCCACAGGAAGCCCTTGCCCGTGTGTGTGTGTGTGTGTGTGTGTGTGTGTGAATATAGCACCTAGCCTGTTATTCCTTTTTATCCTTATCCAAAAACCTCAGCTACAACATGTTTGGACACTTCAAGTTCTGCATCACTTTATTTGGAGGCTATGTTTTATTTAAGGATCCGCTGTCAGTTAATCAGTGTCTTGGCATGTTATGTACATTATTTGGCATTCTCGCCTATACCCACTTTAAACTCAATGAACAGGAAGGAAGTAAGAGTAAATTGGTACAACGTCCTTAATTGGTTTTTTGTGGAGAAAAGAAAATCACCCCAAGAAGACTAAAAAAATGTTAAGCGTGCAAGTTGCTTTCAAAGAAGAAAAAAAATTACATTGCAGAATTCAATGAATGATAGTTTACAAGAAGTAACACAAAGGGAAATTTTATATGACTTTTTCAGTTAGAGTACCTTTATTTTTAAGAACTTAATTCACGCCTCTTTTCAAAGGTCATGATTGTATGAAGTATGTAGGATGGTTTGGTTATAACAAATGAAGTATATGAATTTAAAGTTCTGTAACAGCGACAAAGGACTTCATATCACTAAACCACAGATGTGTCCTGGGAGTTAAGTGTTCATACTCTTCCAAAGAAGGACTCAAGAACTTCTCTGCTTGCTTGTGGGTGGTCCCCAGTGTGAGCTCTCTTATTATTTTGGCCAGCATTCAAGTCAGAATTTAAACCTAGCATTTCTGTTTTAGTTGGTTTAGTATAACTTCCTGCTTAATTCATTTGTAGAAATCCTATCTAATAAAGAGGAAATATGCTAATTGACCCTCACACCATTGCAAAGATGGCGGCACCCACAGCCAATAAGGAGGGAATATGCTAATTGACTGCCACACCCTCAAAGATGGCAGCACCCACAGCCACAAGATGGCAGCACCCAGTTCCCTCAGCCCCCCAGCCGCCCAGGGCCACCCGAGGCTCAGGTAACCAGCTGAGGCTTGCGCTGCCGGCAGTGGCAGCAGCAGAGGT